GATCTACACCTTCGGCTGCAACGACGAAGGTGCCCTGGGGCGCGACACCTCGGAGGAAGGGTCTGAGACCTCCCCGGGGCCGGTGGAGCTGCAGGAGAAGGTGGTGCAGGTGTCAGCAGGGGACAGTCACACGGCTGCACTGACTGAGGATGGCAGGGTCTTCGTGTGGGGCTCCTTCCGGGTACGCCGCTCCCTGGGGCGCTGGCAGCTCCCGTTTTGGCAGCTGCTCCGGTGACTCACGTCCCTGTGTCTGTCTCTCCACCCAGGATAACAACGGGGTGATTGGCCTGCTGGAGCCCATGAAGACAAGCTCCACTCCTTTGCTGCTCCAGCTGGATGCCCCCGTTGTTAAAATAGCCTCAGGTGAGCCCTGGGGGGTGCAGGGTCGGGAGGGTGCACGAGGGTGTCGCAACCCTCGGGGGAAAGTGAAGGTCCAGAAGGTCCGTGACCTTTTCCACCCTCTTGGCTGCTCCAAGCCTGGTGCAAGGCTGTGCTTGCTCTTCTCTTGTGTGTCTTTTAGCCCAAACAGATGGTTTTGCCCCCCACAGATTAACGTATCAAGTTAATATTTGACCCAATCTGCTGTAAAATGCCTTGACCGCAACCTCAAGGTCACGGCGCTCACCTTCTGTGAAGCCTGGGGAAGCTGAGCTGAGCAGCCATGGAGCTTGTCTAGAGCATGGGGGAGTTTGGGGGGCACCTGTGCCCTTAAACCTTCCCAGAGAAACTGCTTTGAAGTTTCCTGGGATCAGGAAGAGGGAAATCCTGGGGTTTTAAGCTGTGCCACGAGTGGTGTCGAGGTGCAGTAAACCCCCTCTAAGGTTTAGCAAGCTGGGGTTTGCCTGTGGGATCCAGCCTCTGGGGCTTGCTGAACACTTCTCCATGACTGCTCCTTCCCTCCTCTCCCAGGGAATGACCACCTGGTGATGCTGACGGTGGATGGTGACCTGTTCACGTGTGGCTGTGGCGAGCAGGGCCAGCTGGGCAGGGTGCCAGCGCTCTTTGCCAACCGAGGAGGACGGAAAGGGCTGCGTGAGTGGCTTTGGTTCTTTGAGCTGCATCCATTGGCCCCAGCTCTGGCCTTTCCAGAGGAGCAAAGGGACCCAGTCCCTGGTGCTTGTGTGTAATCAGTGACCTGAATGCAGTGAGTGAATAATCCTTGTGTAACACCTTGTCTCCTGTCCCCAGAGAGGCTGCTGGTCCCCCAGCTCGTCCCTGTCAGAGGCAAAGGGAGAAGAACCAAAATGCGCTTCCAGGACACCTTTTGTGGGGCCTATTTCACTTTTGCTGTCACACAGGAGGGACACATCTATGGATTTGGCCTCTCCAACTACCACCAGCTGGGTGAGTCCCTCCAGATCTCCTGCCAGTCCCGTGCTGCCCTGGGTGCCCCAAATCCTAGACACTGGGGACAGACTGGAGCTGGAAATTGGGGTGGGGGGATCACAGCCCCCACAACCAACAGAAATTTGATCTGGGGGCTCAGGAGGGGGGTTGCTGTGTTGGTGTCTGGGGGGTGAGCCCCAGGGTGGGTGGCTCAGAGGGGGAGCCTGGCCTGGGCTGTGTGTGCCCGTGGCCCTGATCCGGCCGGGTTTGTGCGTCCCACCCCGCAGGGACCCAGGACACCGAGCCCTGCTTCTCCCCGCAGAACCTCACC